AGTGCCTCACCAGCTGTCAACCTCACCGCACGTCACTGCCTAAGCTCCTATTAACACATTACCGTATAACCCAAAGTAACCAGTCACTGCACAGAACTACAGTTTTGCTAGTTACAGTTGTCTGTTCCCAGTGGTTCACTGGTTCACCTTTTCATATTTTTCATGTGCACACTAAAAGCTTTTGATGCAACCCAGCACACAAACCTACATGCATAAGTAAACAGACATGACATTGTCTCCATGATGCCGAGACACAGCTCTGTGGGGTCATACCATCTATTCTTGATGACTTTGGCTGTATGATTGGGACCAGTCAGATATCACCTTGATGGTATTCCATGATGGATATGAAACTAAATTTCTCACGTGCCTAAAACTTTTGGAAAGTACTTTAACTGGCTAAAATACACAGCTGAGAACCACACAGGGGTAAAAGCACATGCTTACCACTGCAGGGACTTGGGGTCTGAAATCTTTCCAGAAACAACACCAGATTTTGGCAACATGTGTATTATTGGCTTAGATGTTGCTTTACCTCTTGCTCCACAGGCACTGACATGCCTTTGAGACTGGTGGGAGGCCTGGAGGATTTTGAAGGCCGTGTCGAGGTGTACCATAATGGCAGATGGGGAACCATTTGCAATAACAAGTGGGATGACACTGATGCTGAGGTGGTGTGCCGACAGCTCGGCTTGGGGTAAGAAATGGCTGCTGTGCTGCTGCTGCTACTACACAAGGAATGTCAAGATGAAATTTCTTTGCTAATATAAAATCCTTTATGTTTATATCTCAAAATGAAATAAGAATTACTAAGGCTTCCTACCTAGAGCTGCAAGAGAGAACCACTAACTTCAAGTTTCAATATCAATATATTGTGAGAAAACTATTCAGAGAGCAGTGTAAAATAATATTTTATAAGTAGCACTAATAATGATAACTCAACTGTAGCGTGGGGAGAGGAATTTAATTGCTTTAAATGTTCTCCATTATAAGAAAAAATCTTCCACTGAAAATTTCACTTAAGTAAAATAACAATATCAAATCAAATCAAATCAAATTTTATTTGTATAGCATCAAATCACAACAAAAGTCATCTCAGGACACTTTACAAAGTAAGGTCTAGACCTTACTGTTATCAATATTATTACATAGGAAAACCCAACAAATCCCCCTTGAGCAAGCACTTGGCGACAGTGGGGAGGAAAAACTCCCTTTAACGGAAGAAACCTCCGACAGACCCCGGCTCTTGGTGGGCGGCCTTCTGCCTCGACCGGTTGGGGTGAGTGGATAGAGGAGAGACAAAAGAAGAAAAGCAACAAGACACAACAATCAAACACTGATCAGGTCGATGTGGCTGGTGACTGCTCGTCAGAGACATAGAGCTCCAGGGCCAGGGCAACCTGCAGAAAGGTACAGGGAGAGAGAGAG